CATAAATTCGTTCATCCCTTCTTAAAAAGAGTTGAGGTGTTTCAGATAAAGAATTGTATAGCTTTGCTAAATTAAAGTTCTCTTGCACGGTTTCAGAAAAAGTTTGTACACTTTCATCAACGTCCATCTGAAATTAGAAAAACATTGTTTTTAGAATGGTACTCTTTGCAAAAGATGTAAAATCCAGAAAAAATTCATGTGCTGAAAATTATACTAACAATATCAAAAAATCCTGCATAAAAATAACCCTGGGTTAAACCCGTGTATATTCTGGGTTAGACTTGGGTTTATCCTGGGTTAAACCCGGGTATATCCTGGATTATACCTGGGTTATACCCAGGTATATCCTGGGTTATACCTGGGTATATCTCGGGTTATACCCGGGTTAATCCTGGGTTATACCCGGGTTTATCCTGGGTTATACCCGGGTATATCTTGGGTTATACCCGGGTTTATCCAGGGTTAAACCCAGGTATATCTCGGGTTATACCCGGGTTAATCCTGGGTTATACCCGGGTTTATCCTGGGTTATACCCGGGTTTATCCTGGGTTATACCCGGGTTTATCCTGGGTTAAACCCAGGTATATCTTGGGTTAAACCCGGGTATACCTGGGGTTAAACCCGGGTATACCTAGGGTATACCCGGGTTCAACCCGGGTATACCAAGGGTATACCTGGGTATACCACTGGTGTTCATACCCAGCATGATTTTAATTTTAATCAATGACCTTAATTTCAATCAATATGCTCTTATTGTATAATTAAAAGGAATATATCATAATTACTTATTGAAAATACACTTTTATTTACCAGGTATAACTGAAAAATACAAAAAATATACATAAACTTTGTCCTTTTAAACACAAATAATTCAATATACTTTCGTAAATTTTGAATGCTAAAATAAGGCAAAGTTATGCATAACTTCTAAAAAAAGATGTCGTTGTTTTCTCAAAAAACACATAATAATTAGCAATTAAAAAAAATCAATTGAAATATTACCTTAGATTAAGAAAATCACCCATTAAATACACCACAGTATATAAGCGTCTGAATCGAAAGAAATCCAGCAACAAAATACCTACTTTCACAATAAAATGATTGACAATCACGTGATAAAATAGGCGGAGTTCCGCATTCCCGCACCCGCATCACGTCAAAGTGCCTATACCCTAACCCTAACCCTAACCCTAACCCTAACCCTAACCCTAACCCTAACCCTAACCCTAACCCTAACCCTAACCCTAACCCTAACCCTAACCCTAACCCTAACCCTAACCCTAACCCTAACCCTAACCCTAACCCTAACCCTAACCCTAACCCTAACCCTAAACCCTTTAAAGGGTTATCCCTAACCCTGGTGTTCATATTCGGGTTGTAAGCCGATTAACCCTAACCCTAACCCGGAAGTTAACCCTAACCCTGAGTTAACCCTGATTTTCAGGGTTTATGCAGGGTTATCCCTTTAAACTTCATATCTGGTGTTCATATTCGGGTTGTGAGTTAAGGAGATGATGTTCAATCCAAAAAACCCTCAACCCTGCCCGAACCCGGAAGTTAAAGGGTCAACCCTGAGTTAACCCTGATTTTCAGGGTTTATGCAGGGTTATCCCTTTAAACTTCATATCTGGTGTTCATATTCGGGTTGTAAGCTAAGTAGGTGATGGTTGATCGATTGACCCCCTAACCCTTCCCGAACCCGGAAGTTAAAGGGTCAACCCTGAGTTAACCCTCATTTTCAGGGTTTATGCAGGGTTATCCCTTTAAACTTCATATCTGGTGTTCATATTTGGGTTATAAGCTAAGTTGGTGATGTTCAATCCAAAAAACCCTCAACCCTTCCCGAACCCGGAAGTTAAAGGGTCAACCCTGAGTTAACCCTGATTTTCAGGGTTTATGCAGGGTTATCCCTTTAAACTTCATAGCTGGTGTTCATATTCGGGTTGTAAGCTTAGTACGTGATTGTTGATAGATTGACCCCTCAACCCTTCCCGAACCCGGAAGTTAAAGGGTCAACCCTGAGTTAACCCTGATTTTCAGGGTTTATGCAGGGTTATCCCTTTAAACTTCATATCTGGTGTTCATATTCGGGTTGTAAGCTAAGTAGGTGATGGTTGATCGATTGACCCCTCAACCCTGCCCGAACCCGGAAGTTAAAGGGTCAACCCTGAGTTAACCCTGATTTTCAGGGTTTATGCAGGGTTATCCCTTTAAACTTCATATCTGGTGTTCATATTCGGGTTGTAAGCTTAGTACGTGATTGTTGATAGATTGACCCCTCAACCCTTCCCGAACCCGGAAGTTAAAGGGTCAACCCTGAGTTAACCCTGATTTTCAGGGTTTATGCAGGGTTATCCCTTTAAACTTCATATCTGGTGTTCATATTCGGGTTGTAAGCTAAGTAGGGGATGGTTGATCGATTGATTCCTCAACCCTTCCCGAACCCGGAAGTTAAAGGGTCAACCCTGAGTTAACCCTGATTTTTAGGGTCCATTCAGGGTTATCCCTTTAAACTTCATATCTGGTGTTCATATTTGGGTTGTAAGCTAAGTAGGTGGTGTTCAATCCAAAAAACCCTCAACCCTTCCCGAACCCGGAAGTTAAAGGCTCAACCCTGAGTTAACCCTGATTTTTAAGGTCCATTCAGGGTTATCCCTTTAAACTTCATATCTGGTGTTAAGCTAAGTAGGTGATGGTTCAATCGATTGAACCCTCAACCCTTCCCGAACCCGGAAGTTAAAGGGTCAACCCTGAGTTAACCCTGATTTTCAGGGTTTATGCAGGGTTATCCCTTTAAACTTCATATCTGGTGTTCATATTCGGGTTGTAAGCTAAGTAGGTGATGGTTGATCGATTGACCCCTCAACCCTTCCCGAACCCGGAAGTTAAAGGGTCAACCCTGAGTTAACCCTGATTTTCAGGGTTTATGCAGGGTTATCCCTTTAAACTTCATATCTGGTGTTCATATTCGGGTTGTAAGCTAAGTAAGTAGGTGAGGTGATGTTCAATCCAAAAAACCCTCAACCCTTCCCGAACCCGGAAGTTAAAGGGTCAACCCTGAGTTAACCCTGATTTTCAGGGTTTATGCAGGGTTATCCCTTTAAACTTCATATCTGGTGTTCATATTCGGGTTGTAAGCTAAGTAGGTGATGTTCAATCCAAAAAACCCTCAACCCTTCCCGAACCCGGAAGTTAAAGGGTCAACCCTGAGTTAACCCTGATTTTCAGGGTTTATGCAGGGTTATCCCTTTAAACTTCATATCTGGTGTTCATATTCGGGTTGTAAGCTAAGTAGGTGATGGTTGATCGATTGACCCCTCAACCCTTCCCGAACCCGGAAGTTAAAGGGTCAACCCTGAGTTAACCCTGATTTTTAGGGTCCATTCAGGGTTATCCCTTTAAACTTCATCTCTGGTGTTCATATTCGGGTTGTAAGCTAAGTAGGTGATGTTCAATCCAAAAAACCCTCAACCCTTCCCGAACCCGGAAGTTAAAGGGTCAACCCTGAGTTAACCCTGATTTTCAGGGTTTATGCAGGGTTATCCCTTTAAACTTCATATCTGGTGTTCATATTCGGGTTGTAAGTTAAGGAGATGATGTTCAATCGAATGAACCCTCAACCCTGCCCGAACCCGGAAGTTAAAGGGTCAACCCTGAGTTAACCCTGATTTTCAGGGTTTATGCAGGGTTATCCCTTTAAACTTCATATCTGGTATTCACATTCGGGTTGTGAGCTAAGTAGGTGATGTTCAATCGAATGAACCCTCAACCCTGGCCCAACCCGGAAGTTAAAGGGTTAACCCTGAGTTAACCCTGATTTTCAGGGTTGAACCAGGGTTATCCTTTTAAAGTTCATATCTGGTGTTCATATTAGGGTTGTAAGTTAAGGAGATGATGATTAATGGATTGAACCCTCAACCCTTCCCAAAACCGGAAGTTAAAGGGACAACCCTGAGTTAACCCTGATTTTTAGGGTTGAACCAGGGTTATCCCTTTAAACTTCATATCTGATGTTCATCTACGGGTTGTAAGTTAAGGAAAAGTTAAAGGGTCAACCCTGAGTTTACCCTGATTTTTAGGGTCCTTCGACGGTTATTCCTTTAAACTTCATATCTGGTGTTTATATTTGGGTTGTTATATAAGTAGATATAAGTAGATGATGTTTAATAGAATGAACCTCAAGCCTTCCCGAACCCAGAATTTAAATGGATGAGTCCGAGTTTACCCTTTCTTGAAGTCTTCGTCCAGTTTTATCTCCTTAAACCTCATATGTCTTGTTCTGATTGGGGTTGAATGATAGTTATACCAAGTCCATTTGCATGAGTTTTTAAATCTATCCAAATGCGGAAGTGTAAAGAATAACCTTGATGTAGCCCTTTTTTCAGTCTTCGTTTTCTTGTTAATATTTTGTTCATCATTCTTAACTTCATATGTATCGTTAATATTCTAAAGTCATAATAATAAATAATGTTCAATTAATTGAGCCCTAAGAAATGTTAAATCCTTATGTTTTCAGATGTCTTATGTCTTGATATCTGCTTATTGTAATTGATTTTTAATATAATTAATTATCATACCAATTCTGCCCAGAGGCATGAAGTTCAAATTGTCATACAGAGTAAACCCTTATTGTAGAATTTATTCAGGTAATTTACTATCACATAATATCTGGAAAAAGAATTTTTTGACCCAATTTAACAGAAAAGTCAATGCAACCTAAAAAATCAGAATTAAATTGTAATCCGAATATTTAATTCATGCACCTTTGCATTTTTGGGGGGTTAAAAATAAACAACTGTTTCATATAAAAATCATTTATTTATTTATTCTTCAATCTGTGCTATGATCATTTTTTAATATTCCTTATTAAAAAGTACACAGCAAAATATGCAATTCAGTGATTATCTTACAAACTTGCTGTCAAATGACAGAATGATCTGACAAGAATTGAAACAATTCACATTTATTTATATCAATTTAAGCCATTAATTTTTAACCTTGTCATTAAACAACCCATCATGAATTACAGACTTTCACATATAATTGTGAAATAATAATAATGAAAACTTAGAAGAATTCTTTTCACAATTAACGCTTCTCAATTTTGCCAATGTTCATTTTAGACTATCTCCCACCAGCTCTTCAAGTTCCTTCTGGAGTCTTGCTTTCTCTCTTTGCGCTCTTTTCTTCTTCACGATATTTTTCACCTTCTCTTGTAAATAGAGTGCAAAATCGCCCTTAATGTCCGGCTTCCACTCTGGGGCCCAAATTCTATCCCGCACTCCCTCCTCGATCAGTTTTTGGATATCCACCAATTTTGCTATTTAACACGAAATAACAGTTAACTTTTTCAAAATACTTTATAACAAGGGAATTATTCAAAAACGTCAGCCAACACAATCATTTTTATTCTCATTAATTAATATCCTTTCCCGTTAATCTACAGAGAATATGTTATACTTACTTGGTGTATTTGTCTCCTGCACCCCTACCCAATAATGGATATATGCAAGCTGAAGTTGGCTGACTTTCTCTTTCTCTGGACGGTAGGTGATGCCCTCTAATACTTCCTCGACTTTCTCTCGCATGTCTTCTTTCAAATCATCCACCGACAAGGCAACTTCTTCTTCCTCCTCCTCCTCACTCTCCTCTTCTATTAACTTTCTTTTAACTCCCTTTCCGGACTCAACTTCACTTTCTAGGGTCTCCACCCTGACTTTAACTTCTTTCAATTCATTACTAAACTTTACCATAGTCTCCATAACGAATTCTCGCAAACCTTCATACTTTGCGTCGTTTTCATCTATCAAAATGAAAATGGTATGTGAAGTTAAAATATGCTTGCTATAGAAAATATCTTTCCAGAAACATGTAAACTACAATACCTTCTGATAGATTTCCTTTCTCCATACTTCTTTTACAAGACGAATGACAAATCTGTAATACAAGTGAACATCGCAAAATAATTGGAAAAACAAATTTGTGGGAAGATATTATAATTTCATAAAACCAAAACATACTAATCTTATGTATAATAGGAGTTTTATTGTCTTATCTTTGAAGGTCTATACATAACCAATAATTACACCTTCATTCACAAATAACTATTTATTTGAAGCTGCTCAGAGAGAACCAAATACTAAATTTTGCAGCCCATAAAAATTAATTCTTACCTCTAAGAATTGCTTTCAATTTAAAGGATCCTAATTCTTATACGGAAATAGCCGTCCACACTATAGGAGTGACAAGGTACAAATGACTGCAGCTAGCTGTGTCAACGTTAGCGCGCGCTCTGAGTGATGGGAAAGCGCACTTCACACCCCTTTGTGTATTGTGAATTCACAAGCTCAGCGTTCTTAGGTAAGTGTTTGCAGCTGTCAAATTCTAGAGTCCAGTCTTGTCCTGTAATGCATTTAGAGTTAGGGAAAACATATTATGGTGAACGTTCTAAAATATAAAACAATTTTTGTAAAACGAACAACACTTTTGACATAGGTTTTTTTGTGTGTTATTTATTTATGCTTTATTCGCAGACAAAGACTTATTCCTGCGAATTTAAACCTTCTGATAAAATATAAAATGCGTTCAACAATTCAGCGTATTCTCTCTAGGGGAATTTAACGGATTTTGTGATTTTGTGAAAATATGATCCCGATAAAATAATCATTCCTTGGGGTAAATGGATGTTCTTAATCACTTCCTTGGGTTACTTTACTAAAAATTGTTATTTTCTTTCTAAATAGATATTTGGAATCAGCTTCGACAGAATATATTATGTTATGCAGTTTTCAATTTTATTAATTAAGAAACATGACTTAAGTAACTTTTCGATAAATGTTTAATATGTAAATATAAGTCAAAAGGTTCTGAATCGGATTTAACGCAAAATTATGTAATCTGATACGAAATAAATTGGAAAAACTCTCATGACCTTTATTAATTTCATATGTAGACATTGCAAATATTCATAACATCAGACATTTCATCAGTAATAAATTATTATAGGTCAACAACTGTTAAATGTTAAAAAAAACAATTCATAAATGTTTTTTTTTTGTATCATCTCGAATTATCTCTCTAACTCCTACATTTCCGTCCAAAACTGTTATATCTTCTGACTTGAGAAAGTTTATAAAAGCGTCAAAACATTTAGGTGTGTTTAAATGTGCTTATTTATTTGAAACTCTCTTCAGTTTTGTTTCGAAAGCCCTGAACGTACGGAAAGGAATATTTGATTTTAAACACTGTAATTTAAAGTGTTCGTATTTTTGGTGAACGCTTTTCTTCTCCAAGCTTTGAGCATGCAGGAATTCCAGCTCTTGTGCCGACCAGGGAGCTTTATAAGATGTGGAAATCGGGTAGCAGGAGGAAGTTCTCCGAAGTCCTATGTTTTTATCAAAAAGAATGGGGTCATCATCGCGATCACCATATTCATCAGTGACATTTCCAGGTAGTTCTGCGACTTCCTGTTCTGTTTCCTTTCTCTCGTCCTTTTTGTTAGTTTTCTGTTCTTCTCCTGTCAATATTTCCAGTTTATGTGGGATATGTAAAGTGCAAGCGATTCAACTGCAAATTGCGGAATCTAAAATTGGCTAATTGTAACTTGGACAAAATCTCTAATGCAATCAACTTGTTCTTGTGTAAGGGTAGATCAGTCATAAGAACCACTAGCCTGTCATAATCAACGAAATGGCCCTGCATCAAAAGAGCAATACAGCTTATGAACGTCATTGTTATCACTCTTTGATCCATGTCCATTTTCTCTCTTTTCAACTTTCGAAGACACATTGATACCCAGGGAAGTATCTTTGGTGTTTTCTTTATTTTGCTTGGATACACAAGGCCCCGTTTTTCGAGTTCACCTTTAACTAGATCAGATATTGTTATTAGTGTAGCTTCGGTGATATCTGTCGATTCTTTGTCATACACAACCGCCCAAAACTTGTCCTTAAAGGACCAAGTAAGGGTCATGTTTCCATGTTTGTCGTATGTGGTCACCGCGGGAAAATGTTTAAGCTCCAGTTCCAGTAATCCGGCCTCTATGATCTCTGCCAATGGAAGGTTACTTTTATCCAAAAGTAAGTTCAAGCTGGGAAAAACCATTTGGGCATTAGTTCTCCTGTTTGTTGTTAGCAGTTTTACTAGCGACTTGAGGGTTACAGCTCCTACTGTATTAAAAGTGGTCTTACAGGACTTCATCTGTCTTAGGAAATCTTCAAACAGAACATAACTAGCCATCTTGCCAGTTTCGTGCAAGTCATGTAGTAAGGCAACGACCAGATGTCTACCAATAACTCCGTAGCTGCCATCCAAGTGATCGTGTAATCCCACTGATCGTGTTATCATCTTACTTATAGCCTCAGATGTTGTCCATATTTCTGGTGGTGGAATACTATATTCGTTTTGCATACAGGTTGAGTACACTTCTAAAGATAGGAATCCAAAGTGGTCACTCACACTCCGACTGGGTCCAAGAGCGCCGGGTCCCAGATTTATTGAGTATGTTGTGCTCCTTCCACAAAGTGGTTTTCCCCACAACATTTTTTCTGAGGCTAGTTCTAACTGGTAGGATTGCCAGGTAGCACACACATTTCCTGTTTTCTGATACTCGTTCAAAAGTTCCTGAAGTTCCTTGCAAATCCATAAGCCCAAATGTCGAATGCATGTGAGAATTTGACTGGGAAAAGGCACCAACATAGGACAACTTTCTAACAGAAATTCAAGATTTGTTATATCAATAAAATCCAAGGCATGCAAATGGTCTGCAACAGAATCCTGTGAGACGACAAATTCTATCCTACATGCACTTTTCCTCAGCAATGTCCAGTTACTTTGTAATGTTGATATATAATGCTCTGCGTCACGTAGAAATGCTTCCGCTGTCGATCGTGGGAAACACATACCCCCAACAATGCAGCCAGACACTGGATGATATCGTCCATTTGGTTGCCGGTGTGGAATGTCAGCATAAAGCTGTACAAATTGCACATCCTGTGGAAAACGACAAATCTTCATCAAACAATCTTTAACATCCATTGCTCTGCCATCTAAATTGCTCTGATAATTACCGCAGTCTGTGAACGATAAGCAGCTACTTAGTGTTCCTCTGTGGCCAATAACTTGTTCCAAACCTGCTGTGGACCAAAGCAGATCAACGTCTTCACTGTCTGACAAAATGTTTCCGGCAACATGAATAGTTGTACGCAGTATTAATTCGGTATAGAAATCTGACAAGGATAGCCCACATGTCATTTTTTCACCAAATCTGAAGCAAAATATGATTGGTCTTAAAAATCCACTTTGAGGCAGTTCGTCTAAAGATGTTTGCAATGCTTCGAGTATGGGACAACAGTCATCAGGTAAAATGAACATTTTTCGAGCGTCATTAATGTCATTCTTTTGCAGAGTTCTCGTAGCCTCCCCCCTCAAGGCAAGCGTCATTAGTGAAGTTTTAAAACTCTCCCTCAGTTGGAAAAAGGTGGCTAAGGTTTGTTGTCTTACTTGCTGCTTTGATAACGCAACTGAATGCATTTGGTGCACAGGAATTAATCCTATCCAACATTCCCATCCCCTCTCATAGAATAATTGAAAGCCTAGGCTGTTTGAAAATGTCATGAGCTCGCTTTTACTATACTGTGGTAATTTTATATGTTTTTTCAAAACGCTTCTAACATTCCGTAAACTGGCATGATCGTGGGGAAACAGAGTAATATGTCTCACTGGCATTCTAATTGCTGTCAAAGATTTTAATTCCAAAACGCATCCATCAATATCGAATGAATATCTCAACCATACTTCTCTGTCTACTTCATCGACTGTCAAACATCTTCCATAAATTCGTTCATCCCTTCTTAAAAAGAGTTGAGGTGTTTCAGATACAGAATTGTATAGCTTTGCTAAATTAAAGTTCTCTAGCACGGTTTCAGAAAAAGTTTGTACACTTTCTTCAACGTCCATCTGAAATTAGAAAAACATTGTTTTTAGAATGGTACTTTTTGCAGAAGATGTAAAATCCAGAAAAAAAAATCATGTTCGAATAACCGGGTTTTACAAAAGGATTGACCCTGTAGCATGACCAAGTTTTCCCTGGGTTATACCCGGGTTTAACCTGGGTTAAACCCGGGATTACCTTGGGTTAAACCCGTGTATATTCTGGGTCAGACTTGGGTTTATCCTGGGTTAAACCCGGGTATATCCTGTATTATACCTGGGTTATACCCAGGTATATTCTGGGTTATACCCGGGTATATCCTGGGTTATACCCGGGTATATCTCGGGTTATACCCGGGTTTATCCTGGGTTATACCCGGGTATATCTTGGGTTATACCCGGGTTTATCCTGGGTTAAACCCAGGTATATCTTGGGTTAAACCCGGGTATACCCGGGGTTAAACCCGGGTATACCTGGGGTATACCCGGGTTAAACCCGGGTATACCCGGGTTAAACCCGGGTATACCAAGGGTATACCTGGGCATACCAATGGTGTTCATACCCAGCAAGATTTTAATTTTATTCAATGACCTTCATTTCATTCAATATGTTCTAATTGTATAATTAAAAGGAATATATCATAATTACTTATTGAAAATACACTTTTATTTACCAGGTATTATTGAAAAACACAAAAAATATACATAAACTTTGTCCTTTTAAACACAAATAATTCAATATACTTTCGTAAATTTTGAATGCTAAAATAAGGCAAGGTTATGCATAACTTCTATAAAAAAAGATGTCGCTGTTTTCTCAAACAACACATAATAATTAGCAATTAAAAAAAATCAAATGAAATATTACCTTAGATTAAGAAAATCACCCATTAAAAACACAACAGTATATAAGCGTCTAAATCGAAAGAAATCCAGCAACAAAATACCTACTTTCACAATCAAATGATTGACAATCACGTGATAAAATAGGCGGAGTCCCGCATTCCCGCACCCGCATCACGTCAAAGTGCCTATACCCTAACCCTAACCCTAACCCTAACCCTAACCCTAACCCTAAACCCTAAACCCTAACCCTAACCCCTAACCCTAACCCTAACCCTAACCCTAACCCTAACCCCTAACCCTAACCCTAACCCTAACCCTAACCCTAACCCTAACCCTAACCCTAACCCTAACCCCTAACCCTAACCCTAACCCTAACCCTAATTCTAACCCTAACCCTAATCCTTAACCCTCTCCCTAACCCTAGCCCTGACCCTAACCCTAACCCTAACCCTGACCCTAACCCTGACCCTAACCCTTAACCCTAACCCTGACCCTAACCCCCACTAACCCTAACCCCCATTAACCCTAACCCCCACTAACCCTAACCCCTGTTAACCCTTACCCCCACTAACCCTAACCCCCTTTTACCCTAACCCCCACTAACCCTAACCCCCGTTTACCCTAACCCCCACTAACCCTAACCCCCGTTAACCCTAACCCCCGTTAA